ACCATGGCCTCCAGACGGGGCATCGGCTTAAGTAGTATGAACTGACTTGCTACGCTGCTACGCTGCCCATAGTTCTCACCCAAATCCACAAAGCGAAAACTCCCTACAAAACTGATGCTAATCCTGCTTGATAGTCTATCGTGTGTAGTCGGATCTTCCTCTATGCCAGAAACTCATGCAAACATGCTGACTCTCATGTTAAAACAGTTGTGTCCCTATTTGTCTCCTCTCTTCTTTATTTTCATAATGATTCTAATTATGCTGTCGCTAGGAGTCCTGTAATAGCATGTGTAATGCAGCTATAATTCAGGGAGTAAAGCCTTGGAGGTTAAATGTATTAACCATTCCGTTCACTGATCAGCGAGAATTCACTCTCACAAAACTAGTGATTATTATGTTTTAGTCTTTTTATGTTATTTGTTATTACTCTTCACCAACACTTTCATCACCTTTTACTGTGTCAGTGGCATATTGCTCTAACCATAGGAGATTTAAAAGTTCGTTTATAGGTTACTCAGCATAGAAATCCTTTCCTACCTTCAAGAGTTTAGCTAAAGGTTCATTGAGTTGGTCACAAAAGTAACTATAACTTTTAGCAAAGAAAACTTAGGTTGTGAATATAATAATTTAACACTTGTTACACTGCTGTACAGCATGAAATTCTCCAACTAACTTCAGCAAGTATTGTTTAGCTGATTTAACAGTTTGGAATATCCACAGCATTTTAATCATACAGTCATACCAAATTGCATTACAGTTAGGAGCACATAACTGTTGGCAATAGTACATTTACTGTACAGCATTGTAGCCTATAGCTGCTGTTTTTAACTCATTAAGTTTGGTGGTTACCTTACCAACCGTAATTTTCTTTTTTTCTTTTAATTTAGTTCCATATTAAAAGCTAAGTTTTATAATCTTGGGAAATTGGGAATTAGTTACTATATTCTTCCCATTCTGTTTCTCTCCTGAGAGGGGGGAAACTCACTCTATTAGGATAATTTACTTATTCCTACTTTTCTCCTGCTTGCTCTCTACTTTTGTCTTCACCAATCACTTATCACTAAGCTGAACATACTGCAATAACGTACCTATAACTGGCAAAAGGTGGACTTGTTGTCCCTTTAATGCTAGTTAACCCCTCCTTTACTATATACTACATATCTATGACATTAATTACTCAACAAGCTGTCTACCTAAACCTGACATCACTGTTCTACCATGAGCCTTTCCCTATATGCATAGCAAGTTATATGTCCTAAGATGCGCAGTGTCACTCCCTCGACAACATTCTGATAAACTGCTCACGTTCATTTTGTTATTAATTGTTGATTACTATAATATAGAGGATTGCCGTTGGGGGTAACTCGAGCCTGTTTGTACCTATCATGTGCACTGCAAGAATATAAAAAAAATAAAAAATTGAAAGTTTATAGTTTTATTGGATTCTTGATAAGGTAGTAATTAACTGCTTTAATCACACTAAGGGCCCTCTTGAAGTTATCCCTTTCCTCCATATCTAATTTTAATTCTGGGACCCCAAACAATTTTTAAATTTTTTAGTTTGATTATGTTATTTTATGCTGGGATTACAGTTCGCCCACTGATCACAGAAGTTGTTGATTAATGTAGGCTTTATTTGTTCCCTATAGTGTATTCTAGTTAGATTAGTTTAGTTTAGTTCAGTTTTAATTGGAAATATGCTTTTGTTGCATTTGTACATGTTAAAATTTATGGCCCACATTGCCCATTAGGAAATCGGCTTTTGAATCTAATTAAATTACCCTGTTTATCAGACATTAATAAGGCTTTTAAATGAACACCCCAAGATAAAGGAAATATTTCACACCTTTTTAGCTCCTTTCTTGATCAACAATATACAATAATTTAATTACATATTAGTTAGCCTCACATTTATGCATTTGATGTCTTAACATTTTTTTTAATTTTTTTTTATTTGACCAAATGGATTTAAATTTCTTTCTACTTTGTTTTAACACAAAGAGCAACTTTCAATTAATTAAATTGAATGTAATTGCACTTATTAGTGTTTATAAGGTATAATTTGAAATTAAAAACCTCAACATATGAGGAAAGGGATTTAGGGGTGATTATTTCTGATGACTTAAAGGTAGACAATGTAATAGAGCAGCAGAAAATGCTAGCAGAATGCTTGGTTGTATAGGGAGAGGTATTAGCAGTAGAAAGAGGGAAGTGCTCATGCCATTGTACAGAACACTGGTGAGACCTCACTTGGAGTATTGTACACAGTACTGGAGACCATATTTTCAGAAGAATATTGATACCTTAGAGAGAGTTCAGAGAAGGGCTACTAAACTGGTTCATGGATTGCAGGATAAAACTTACCAGGAAAGGTTAAAGGATCTTAACATGTATAGCTTGGAGGAAAGACGAGACAGGGGGGATATGATAGAAACATTTAAATACATAAAGAGAATCAACACAGTAAAGGAGGAGACTATATTTAAAAGAAGAAAAACTACCACAACAAGAGGACATAGTCTTAAATTAGAGGGACAAAGGTTTAAAAATAATATCAGGAAGTATTACTTTACTGAGAGGGTAGTGGATGCATGGAATAGCCTTCCAGCTGAAGTGGTAGAGGTTAACACAGTAAAGGAGTTTAAGCATGCGTGGGATAGGCATAAGGCTATCCTAGCTATAAGATAAGGCCAGGGATTAATGAAAGTATTTAGAAAATTGGGCAGACTAGATGGGCCGAATGGTTCTTATCTGCCATCACAGTCTATGTTTCTATGTTTCTATGTAAAATATTAATTATATTCTGCTTGTTTAAAAAAATACCAGAAATATTCCCAAAACATCTATCACCAATATTTTAGAAAAGTTTAGTTTTAGTTCGTATGTAGAAATTTGAATACCTATAAAAAAGAAACAATTTGGAACGTATTTCTAAACCATATATAGTATACAGAAAACTCATTTTTACATAGATTGGAGCAAGTAAAATGCAGTCTTTTATATGACAACTTACCTTTGCATCAGGTGATGCAGTAATTGCAGTCATCCTCAGTAATCTTGCATTTTCTGCACAATGGAACAAGAAAATGAAATGCCTAATGTCTCCAGACACATATGTGAAAAAAGCTACAGAATTCTGGGGTTTATTTAATGCAACTGAAATTGTCAACTGAACTTTAACATATTTAACCAAAGGTAATCATAAATTATGTTTGCTTGCTGTTTTTTTTTTCCAATTTCACCAAATTTGTACATTTGGTTAAAAATAAAAAATATGCTCAAGTGCAATAAAATTCTAGCAGCATTGTAATGTATCAGCTCCTGAATTACAACAGATCTGTTACCAAATTCATTAACCAAGATGTATAGATGAACTAACGTAGTGTTTTCACTAATCAGCTAATTCAGTGATTTTAGTACATCATGAGGTACTTGAAGCTGAAATACAGAAAATGAGAAGCAAGACTCATTGTTTTCCATGTTGCCAGTGGAGATTTAATAAAGCATAGCTATTATCATGAAACTGCTTTCTAACTACATTATCAGACTAAAAATGGAGATTATAATATAGATTTATTTTGCAGATAATCTATCTATTTAAATGAATTAGCTCCTATACAAAAGGATCTACCTAAACCAACATGTTATTTTTAATTCCTCACTATATTATTTTAACATATGATGCTGCAAATGTCTTATTATGCATGGGTTGCCTAAACAGGTCACATTCCAAATTTAGCAGGATAGCAGCAGCCTTCAAATAGATCATCCCAAAAGTGTTGTTTCCTGCTCTGTGCATAAATCTAATACAAACTGTTTAATTTTCCAGCACAGAGGTCTTAGATGGGTCATTATTCAAATGTGAAATGCATATGTCCATGTTCCGTGACATCTATTATGCAAGTCAAACATTATTCATGTTGTTGAATGGCCATGTGAAAGATCACATTATTGATTTGAGTTGTTGAGCTTCATCTGCATTTGTGATACATCATCCAAATGTTAAAGAACTGTTGCTTCAGCCTTTAATTATTGTTAACCTGTTTTCTTTGTATTGATTTTTGGAGATCTTTCCATAATTGGTTTGAATAGGTACGTTTTTGCGTGATCGCAGTTTGCTAAAAAACAAAAACGCTTCTTGATAATGTGTATGTATTAATGCATTAAATGCAAGTATTCTTTATGTAAAGTAATACATTCATCTTGAACATTCCTCCTTGAGAGCATTAAAATGTCTACTAGCATGATTCTGTTATTCTCTAATTAGTTGTTCTCATAACTTTTTATAGCTTTTGTTGGCTCACGAAAATAAGCCTGCTGTAGTTAAGGCTACATCTCAGAAACTAAGCTGTGCTATGCCCTCGTTAAAAATGTAATCATGTAATGCAATATATTGAAACAAACATGTTATAGTGTATATCCTCCAGGTGAAGGAGTTCCTATGGTAACCACCCGCTGTTGCCATGAGAAATGATATATCAGTGGGAGAAGGACTCAAGAAGTCTTCTCTAGTTGTTGGGCACATAAGCTGTAGCAATAGAAGAAACCAAAAATTTGTGTCATGTTACCAACTGAATTGAAGTGTAAAATAAATACTTCCAAAGTTGTGTTACAGACTTTTGACAATATATATATATATATATATATATATATAAGAAAACATTTACTGTATGAAATAGAACACATATTGAAATATAAGGACAGGTTAGATGTTATAGTTTAAAACATCTAGAAAGTGCACAAAAAGCATGTGCATTTTTTATTTTTAAGGAAGTATTCAACATTCTTAAAATGCCTGAGATGTAGCTGATATTCCAAAAACATAGCCCTACTACAAAATATTTACACTGCAACAAATTGTTTTAATATATATATATATATATATATATATATATATATCTACATATATATATATATATATATATATATATGTAGATAGTGATCAGCACTCTCTGACTTTAAAGGTTAAAACTTACTGTTTATTAAATATCCATTAAAAGATCAACGTTTCAGTTCCATCTGGAACTTTCATCAGGATCAGGCATGTCAGGATGCCTGATCCTGATGAAAGTTCCAGATGGAACTGAAACGTTGATCTTTTAATGGATATTTAATAAACAGTAAGTTTTAACCTTTAAAGTCTGAGAGTGCTGATCACTATCTACATATACATGTTTTTCCCTGGATTTCAAGCACCTGGCCAACACCAGCTAGAAAGTGTGAGTGCAAGGATACTCTGGATTTATATATATATATATATATATATATATACAGTTGGTAACAGAATGTAAGAATGTTCAACCATTTCTGTCTATGTATGTCTATGTAAGTATTTTTTCAATACTATTCTTAGTGATGGAATATAGAAGCAATGCTCTGCAGTCACAATGTATGCACAATGATATTATACTCAGACGTTATAGCGAATATAGACAAAATAGAAGACAAGTAGTGTACAGGTAGAAGAGTATACAATAGAGAAAAGAGTTGATATGAAGTAAGAAGTTAGTAGAACACATGGTCAGAGATCTACAGAGAAGAGAAGGTGGCATTGAAAAAATAGTGTTTATTGTAGACAAGATTGATCCAGTTGGCCATATACCTGGAATAAATTTGTATTTGTATGGAAAAGTTGCATCTGCGGTAGGGGAAGAAGCATGGGTGATGGCCGCACTGAAGAGAATCAGGGAGTAATGTGAGAGTGATATGGCAAGATTGGTAAGATTGAACTGTGGTGGGCAAGTAAGGAATTGGGTTAGGAAGTGACTTGCAGTGTTTCACTGATGAGGTGGGCCTTTTGAAGTTTGTGAAATGATGAAAGAGCGGAGGCAGATTGGATACTAGGACGACGCTGGATCCAGGGGTCGGAGGCTAAAAAGGAAAAAGAGTAGATTCGTGAAGAAGCACCTATGTGTTGGTAAGAGAGGTGGTAAGAGTTTGGTAAGAGAGGTGAAATTGAAGGAGTGGAGAGTACGGTGTGGAGTGCAACAGGCGATGAGAGGGGAGAGATAGAGAGTGACAACATCATGGAGATTTTTTAGACTGTATGCAGGATAAGTTGAACAAAATAGTCAAATTGAAATCACACTTTTATAATGTATTAAGTGTACAACTTTAATGTTTAGCAACAGGAATGTGGCTATGACACGTGAATAACACAATTAAATCCAGAATATTGTCCATGCTTTTATTTCTTGTAAAAGAGAAAAAAATAAGAATCACTATAAAAATTGTTCAGAGGCAATCCACTAACACAATATAGTATATGTGGATCTATTGAAGATAGATAGAATGGTTAGGACAGACAGATGAATCCTGGTAATTATTTTGTAACAAAACTAAAATGTTACCTGCATTCTGTCCCAGAAGCCCTACATACATGTAAATAAAAATGACTTTGGTATTAGTAAAACTTAAAATAATGTTTACATATTGAGCCCTTGTTAGTGTCACGTTACAACCAACTCCAATTATTTTTCAAGTTCTGTAATATTTAGATCTGGCTATGAATACCTTTGCAAATTACACCTTACAAAATGCTGCATTTTAAAATCTGGTATGGATGGAGTTTATTTGTTATTGTGTGTATTTTTGAAATTATTTTACAAATGTTATAATTTTTGCAAAATAGTCCAACTTTATTGAATGAATTTCAGCCTTCTTGACAGGTGTTGATGCAGAAAATAACTTGTCACTTGCAGGAACTTCTATTTTCACATTGCAGAATTTACTACGAGAGGCAGAAAAGCTAATTAAAATATAATATTAAATAAAGACTCAACTTACACAATAAGTGTTATTTTTGTTAGATGATTATCTATCTATCTATCCATCTAAGTGTGCAATAAAATATTAATTAAGAATTTTTTATTTCACGACTATAAATTAATTAAGCACAAACCGTATAGATACTATAGTTGACCATAAACTTTCATTTACATGTAAATATATAGACAATTGTATACAAAAAGCTGAAAAAAAAACTTTATAGATAAAACATCTTGCAAAACATAGTCACAAAAACAAATCAGATTTGCTAATAAACTCAGAAATGTTTCAGTTCAAAAAAACATCTCTCTGGAGAAACAGCAGCATATGGAGGCCTGAACCCAAAATTAAATTATCTGACTGCAGTAAACTCAAAATGTGTAATTTATAAAAGACTCACAGTTACACCAATATATTTAATTTAGGGGGTTTTTTTAAATCTCAAAATGTATTTCAAGACATCTATAAGAAAATGTCTAAGTTTTTTGTTTAAATGTTCTTAGATCATCATAGTACTTTGTTTATCTGACCAAAATGGTTCCTGTAAAGAAAAATTTCATTTAACCACACCACTAGTATATTAATTAAACCTAATACAACATTTTAAAATTGATTTGATCAATTTAAAACAACCTTTAATGTACAACCCATTGTATTTTTTTTTTAAATAGATCTATTTATATATTATTCTAAAAGTAAGTGAATTTGAAAGTTTTACTCTGCTGCTGAAGGTTTTTTTTTGTCCATTGTCATGGCAACTGTATTCTAAACAAGGAGTAACATGAGTGTGATTGAAATACAAAAACAAAAAAAAATATGCCATGTATGCGAACTCAAAATTGTGCATTTACCACCCCATTAATACATATAATTTAAAAATAATATACAGAAATACATTTATATTTTTCCAGTAAATCTCAAGGCTGTGACTCATGTTAACTTACAAATAAGAAGTGATCGATATATATTTTGTGAGATAGATGATAATGCCTCAGCTTGTACTGTAATCCTTGAACTATGTGAAATATTAAGTAGAGGAAAAACAAATGAAACACATATGTAAAAATAAAAGCATTATTACACAGTTAATATATAAATACAATGTTTTAACTCAGCAACAGGTTAAACCTCCCCCCCCCCAATCTATGTATACACAATGCTACTATATTCAGAAAATGTCAGAAAACTAGTAGTAATTAAGTATTGTGTAACATTTTTGTTTAATATATATGTTAATGTTCATTGTAGTTCATATTGATCACCATGTGTAGATTTAGCTGTTTGTGTTACAAGATAAATATAGGTTGATTTCATAAATTTGTACAGTTTAGTGAGTGTTTGAGTGTGTTTGCATGTGTGCAACTCTGATGTTTAGTTTTTATTATTATGACCATAATCATTAAATAGATTTAAGAAGTGCAGAAAAAATGTTATTAACCAAAAATTTAGCAAATGCCAGTTCTGTGAAAATGCCAAAATACCCCATAATTCCTCTTGATAAATATTGTTGTCTATATTTATGCAATATTTACTGGTTGGCAACAAGGTTTCACTAAAACAAGTGAATGATACTGTCAAATCCCCCAGTGTAAAAATGTATGTAACAGGAGGTTTAAATTTTAATCCTGTCCCTCGCTATATAAATGTATTTAAAAACCTTTTTTCTGATTGCTAAAAATATATATAAGATTGTGAGCAGTTATATTAATGCTGCGCTATAGGGAATGAAAATACAAATTACACAGAGTTGGAAGAGCCCAACACCTCTTAGCAGGGCTGACTTAGAAGGAATATTGCAACTATGAAAGTATATAGAGTATATGAATGATTTACTTTTCCTTAGACTATGTGGAAGTAGTGGAAAATGTCAAGTTTAATAAAGGGGGGGGGGGCGAATTAGAGGTTAATGGTGAATAAAATAAATTAGATGTATGTATAGATGTATATATCTCATTTATTTATTTATTTCACATTAATCTACACTCAATGACAAATAAAAAAATAACAGATTTTGTAAAAACCTAGCAAATTTATTAAAAACAAAAACTGAAATATTTACAATCTTTAAATTTATCTCAGAGGCAACCCAATGTTCCAGATCATCTGTGAAATGTTTCTACACTTTGATTGGAGTCCATCCGTGACACATTCACTTAATTAGACATGATGTAGTCACATATCTATCTATATAAAGTCTCAAAGCTATAGATGCATATCAGAGCAAAAACAAAGCTGTGAAGTCAGAGAAACTGCCTGTAGAGCTCCGATATAGGATTGTGTCATGGCACAGATCTGTGGAAGACTATGAAAAGGACTCAGGAGCACAGTGGCCTCTATAATTCAGAAATGGAAGAAGATTGGAACAATCAGGTCACTACACGATACATGAAGTCCACTTGGAATTTGAAAAAAGCACCTAAAACATTCTCAGACTGTGAAACACTAGTTTCTGGTCTGATGATACAAATATTGCTTTGTTTGAACTCAATTGAAAGTGTAATGTCTGGAGGAAATCAGGCACCAATCATCAACTGCACAATACCATCTTAACAGTGAGCATGATGGTATTAATATCATGTTTTTTTGTTTTTGTCTCATGGACTGGGAGACTTTTTGGGGATTAGTGAAAGTTGAACAAAGCAAAATATAGAGATATCATTGATGAAAACCTGATCCAGAGTACCCAGTAACTCTGCTCGGCTCAACTGAAGGTTCACCTTACAATGGGACAATGACTCTAAGCACACAGACAAGGCAATGCAAGAGTGTCTTAGGGACAACTCTGTGAATGTCCTAGAAAGGACCAGCCAGAGCCCAGACCTGAACCCAATTGAATATTTCTGGAATGGCCTGATCATGCCTTTCCACCAACAATCCCCATCCAACATGACATAGCTTAAGACGAAAGGCAGAAGCTACACAAATTTAGGTGTGCTAAGCTTGTAGTACCATACCCCAAAAATATTTGTGATTGCTGACATAGGTGCTTCAATGAAGTGCTGAGTAAGAGATCTGAATACCTATGTCAAAGTAATAGTTCAGTTTTTTACTGTTTCATATATGTGCAATGGTGTCAGAAATCAATGTTTTGCTTTGTCATTATGGTGTATTGAGTGTAGATTGATGTGAAAATAAATAATTGAAACAAGCGTAGCATAATGCTACAACATAAAATATGAAAAAATGAAGTGGTTGAATGCAATGCATATATGTATTGCTGTAATTTTAACTTCTACACTATATGTGTTACATTTTACAAACTCTATTTTAGAGTATAGAAGGGACTTTTTATAATATTTAAGTTTCAAAAATGGCTAATTGTGG